ACCTCTCAGCATGGCTCTTCCTCGGGATCTTAATCTGTATTCTCTTGTTAATAACACAGTATCAGACTGGGTAAGTTACAAAGAAATGGTTTTATTTGGCTCAAGGATTAGGTCCCAGGTTTGAGGGGCAACATCTGGTGCTGGCCTTCTTATTGGCAAAGGCCTAGCACAAGAACCATGTGGACCAATAAAGCTGAGTATAGGAGAGGCTAATGTAAAGTGACTGCTGAAACAGACCCCTGGAGATAAACCTGTAACCCATTAATCACATGAAAGAATTGATCCTAATCACCTCCTCTAAGGTTCCACATGATCTCATCTCTTACTATGATAATTTGGATTAAATTTCCCCATAAGTTTCAAAGGGGACAAACCATTATATGTGGAAATAAATCCTAAATATCTGCATTCAGCCCCACATTGTCAAATGGCACCTTCCCCTCTGAAGTTCCCAACACTATTAAATATTTTCTGCCATGATACCTTTCATTCAGCTTCAGTATTTCAGCATTCTTCCAAAGAACAATCAGCATTTTTCCACAGGAATAAAAAATGGTTTGTTTTCTATTTGTGAACATTTCACATAAGAAGAAAGTGGAGAAAACCTATTTATCATTCTCATGTAAAAACTCTGCTTTGGTGGATGTTTAGAGCAGTGTTGCATCCATTCATCAGCTAAAATAGAATATTACAAAAACAAGTGACAGTCACACATGAATTTAATTGAAAATGAGAGGCAAGGCATCTGATTGGGACCATCACTCCTTACCAGAGTGTGGTCCCCAACAGCGAGTTACACAGTTTTTTACAGTATTCTTCCATTAAGGCTCACAATTTCAAACCCCTGGTATGCAGTGAACAATAAAAAAAAAAAAAACAGAATATGGTTGTAAGATAACAGTTAACAATAACAAACCCAGGAACAATAACAACTCTAAAATATGGTTGCAAGATAACAGTGCAGGACACATTTCTCTCAACTTATTTCCTTGGAATTTTGGCCCACATAGTTTTACAGGATACACCCTTAGCCATTAGCAAGCAAAGCTAATATGTACAGAAGCAAGAGATCTGAAATCATATCTTAGCCACACTCACTCCATTTTGATTTTGACTCTACAGCAGGTGTTAAGATGTCACTTCAGATGTCCATATTCCATATCAGAGTATCAGCCTTCCTTCCAATCCACTTTGCTGCTATTACACACTCTTGTAAGCAGTGGATGATGGCCTAAGTACTTGGGTCTCTATCACCCATATGGGAGACCCAAATTCAGTTTCTGGCTTCTGGCTTCAGCCTGGTCCATCCCTTCAGCCTGGTTATCATTGTTGCATGCATTTGAGAAGTGAATCGATGAAGGAGGAAAAAAAATCTTTCTTTTTTCTGTTTCTCTGCATTTCAAATGAGTAAAATAATTTTAAAAAATATTTTCACATGTCCTTTTAGTTACCATAAATGCAGATATCTCATCATGAATGTCATTGGCTTGTTCCCTTGGAAAGTTTACAAGGTAGTGTCTCCTCAAAGCTCCCTTCTCTCTTTTCCTTGTCCTAAGTTTCAAAACTGTGTGAGTGGTGATCTAAGATGCTCCTGGTGGCTCAGTCCCTAGGACTGTGCAGTTTACTCCTAGCTCATTCTTTCTGGAAGAAAGCAAGGTAGTAGCTTATGCTCTAAGCCTGAGAAGTAGCTATAGTATATCCTTGATCTGAAGAGCTAACCCATAGGGACATTAAGATTCTCCTCTCACAAGAACATTCTCATTCCTGGGAGACATGTTAGTTTCTGCTCATTCAGTCATATATCTTCCATCCACTGGTTCACTCCCCAAATGGCCAGCAACTGCCATAGCTGGGCTGATCTGAAGCCAAGAGCCTGGAGTTCATTGAGGTCTCATGGTGGGACAGGGGCCTAAGGACCTGACATCCTCTGCTGTTTACTCAGGTTCATCACTAGGGAGCTGGATTGGAAGTGGAGCAGCCAGGACCTTCTCTCTCTCTCTTTCTCTCTCTCTGACTCTGCAACTCTGCCTTTCAAATAAATAATCTTTAAAAAAAATCATGAAGAGCTACTACAAATAGCTATACATCAATAAATTGGAAAATCCTAGAAGAAATGGAATGTTTTATGGACACATACAATCTGCCAAAATTGACTCCCAAAGACATAGAAAACCTAAATAGGCCAATAACCAAGATGGAGATTGAATCAGTAATAAAGACCTTTTAACAAGGAAAAGCCCAGAACCGAATGGCTTCATGCTGATTTAAAAAAAATATTTAAGGTATACAAATTTCATGTATTTCATATATACTGACTTAGGAACATATTGATACTTTTCATCCCACTCTCTCTCCTTTTGCAATCTTAATTTTTATAAAGATCTATTTTCACTTTACTTTATACTCATAAGGTTAACCCTACACTAAGTAAAGAGTTCAACAAATAGTGAATGGTACTTATCTTAAAAGTTCTTTCTCAGTCATGACATTGTCTGTGTATATAAAGCCCATAGATTTTTCTGTTGATTTTATATCCTGCCACTTTACCAAACTCTTTCATGAGTTCCAGTAGTCTCTCAGTGGAGTCTTTTGCATTTCCTATATATAGGATCATGTCATCTGCAAATAAGAATAGTTTGACTTCCTCTTTTCTGATCTGTATCTCTGTGACTTCTTTGGCTTGCCTCATCAAGTCTGCTGTTAAGGCTTTCCACCACTTTTTTATTTGATCCATTGAAATTTTCATTTCTAAAATTTCATTTTGATTTCTCTTTAAGTTCTCAATTTCTTAGGAAAAATTTTTCATTCATGTCATGTATCATTTTCTTTTGTGGATTTGCTTCTGATTTTTTTTGAGTGACTCATGATTAATTTTCTAAATTTAACTTCTGGCATTTCCTTGATCTCTACTTTAGCATTCTAATGTTGAAATGTTGTGTTCCTCTGAGAGGGTCATGGTGACTTCCTTATTCTAGTTTCTTGCATTTTGGTTCTTATTTTTCAGCATTAGTGGAGTTGATCTTTAATTTTTCCTTTGGTTGGTTTTTGTCTTTGGGGTATGCTTCTGTGACTTCTTGGAATGTCTGCCCTTCCAGTGACTAACAGGAGGTATATGGTGAGTGTGGCCAAGGGGCTCTGGCCAATGCTTTAGGGTGGGGCAAGTTTCCAGGGTAACACCTAAGTTCCAGGAGCAAGGGGGAAATCAATACCCAGCTATGCCCTACACCTTTACTTGTAGCCACCGAGTCCCCATGGTCTCAGCACTCAAGTCTCCCACAGTTGTTGAGTCCAGAGGACATTGCTGGCACAGGCATCCATCTGTCCTTCATTGCTGTCCAGCTGCCTCCCAGCCAAGCTCTGAGTCAGTGGGGGCTGTGGGCCAAGCCCACTGTTTGAAGTTCTGGATCACACACACCCTAGAGTCACTGGCTGAATGCCTGCCTGCCACTGCTGCCAGCAATAACTTCAAGTGTCCTGTCTCAGTGAACTGTTATGTGCACACCTGCAGGCTTCTGTAGTTTTGCCCTGTTTTAAAATGGCACCTGCCCTCTCTCAGCTGGATCACAGTTTCTGTTTTGGAGTGATTGGTTAGAATTGGACAACCCTCTACACTTCCACTAGGACCACTGACAACTTCCAGCAACTACCAGCACCCAGGACTCCAGTCTGGACACACACCATATTCTCTCTCTGCTCTAACCTCATGGGTTGGTACAGTCTATCCTCCCTCCATCTCAAGAATGCTGCCAGCTCTGGCTTTCCATAGCTTTGGCTCTCTGCTCTCTCTGGCTGCATGTCAGCACTCACTATGCAGGTTCAGGCCATTTCCCCTACTCCCATGGGGCTTCCTGGGTGTTTTTCTCTCCAATTCTCCACCAAGAGTGTACCTCCTACACTATTCTCCTCACTGTTTCTCCCTAGCCTTTGAAGCATGCCACTCCCTAATCCTCCATTTTTTTCTTCTTCTGGTCCTCCTACTGATTTTGGGTTTGGTTTGTTCTTGTTTCTCTAGATCCTTGAGATGTATTGTTAGATCATTTAATTTTTCCCTTTCCAACTTGTTGATGTAAGCACTGATTGCTATAAACTTCCCTCAACACTACTTTTTCAGTATCCCATAATTTTTGATATGTTATATTGTCATCTTCATTTGTTTTCCAGAATTTTTTGAATTCTTTTATGATTTTTCCATGGCCTACTGTTCATTTAGGAACATGTTGTTCAGCCTCCATGTGTTCGCATGTTTTCTCACATTTCTTTAGTTAGTTAATTTCCTGCTTCATTCCATTGTACTCAGAAAAGATACATGATATTTCAGGTATTTTTTGATTTATTGAGACCTGCTTTATGGCCTAGGATATGATATATCCTAGAGAAAGTCCCATTCACTGATGAAAAGAATGTGTGTTCTTCAGTTTGGGGATGACATGTTCTGTAGATAACAGGTCCATTTGGTCCATGGTGTAAATTTGTTCTGTTGTTGTGTGTATGTTTTTTTTGTTGTTGTTGTTGTTTTGCCTAGTTGATTTGTCCATTGATGAAAGTGGTGTGTTGAAGTGTCTCATTATTGTATGAGTCTGTGTCTCCCTTTAGATCCATTAACATTGCTTTTAGATAGCCAGATGTACTAGTATTGGGACATGTACATTTATTGTAGTCATATCTTCCTATTGAATTGATCCTTTAATAATAACATAATGCTATTCTTTACCTTTTTACAGTTTTTGTGCTACTCCTGATCATTTTTGCTTTCCATTAGCATGGAATACCTTTTTCCATCCTTTCACTTTTAGTCTGTTTGTATCGTTGTTAGTCATGTGTGTTTCTTACAGGCAGCAAATAGAGGAATTTTATTTTTTTAATCCACTCAGCCAGTTTGTACCTTTTAATTGGAGAACTTAGGGCATTTATATGATTATTGTTGATAAGTAAGGAGTTTGCCCTGCCATTTTCCCATAACTATTCCTATTGTTTGGTTTGGAGTTCCTTTGTACTTTTACTAGATTTTCTGACTTCACATGCTTTCATAATGATGACTACCTTTCTGTTTCTCTGTGTAGCACATCCTTTTAAAGCATCATTTATAAATCTGGATGAGTGGTGACAAATTCTTTCAATTTCTGTTTGTTATGAAAGGTCTTTATTTCACCTTCACTCATAAATGAGAGCTTTGCACGGTATAGTAATCTGAGTTGACAGTTTTTTTCTTCTAAGACTTAGACTACAGCTGGCCAAGCCCCGCCGGTTCCCCGGGCCTGGTGCCGCGTGGGGAGCCGGCGGGACGCACGTTCAGAGTGGAGCGGCCCGGCCCGGTCCCTGCGTGGGCAGCCCGGCATGCTCGCCCTCGCCTGGAGTGGCGGACAGACCAGCGGGCGGCCGGGACCGGCGGCCGCCATTCCCGTGTCGCTGCGCCCTCCGGGGCCGGCGGAGCCAGCAGCCATGCCGCTGGGCCTGAAGCCCACCGGCAGCGTCTACAAGACCACGTCGTCCTCCATGTGGAAGAAGGGCCCGCAGGGGGAGATTCTCTGCCACCACTGCACGGGCCGGGGCGGCACGTCCGGCGGGGGCGCTGGCGCAGGCCGGCCGGAGCGACTGGGGGGCGGCGGTGGCGGCGGCGGCTTCCGCTCGACCACCTTAGCCAGCACGTCGGCCGCCCCTCCGCAAAGCAACGGCGGCGGGGGAGGCAAGCAGAGTAAGCAGGAAATCCACTGGAGGTCTGCTCGGCTGAGAAACACTAAATACAAATCCGCTCCAGCGGCCGAAAAGAAAGTGTCCACCAAAGGCAAGGGAGAAGGCATATTTTTAAATTGAAAAACCCCATCAAAGCTTCCAAGTCGGTCTCCACCATAATTACTGCAGAGTCCATCTTCTACAAGGGTGTGTATTACCAAATTGGCGACGTGGTTTCTGTGATTGATGAGCAAGATGGAAAGCCCTACTATGCTCAGATCAGGGGTTTCATCCAGGAGCAGTACTGCGAGAAGAGTGCGGCTCTGACGTGGCTCATTCCCACTCTCTCCAGCCCCAGGGACCGGTTTGATCCTGCGTCCTATATCATAGGGCCAGAAGAAGAGCTCCCAAGGAAGATGGAATACTTGGAGTTTGTTTGTCATGCACCTTCTGAATATTTCAAGTCACGGTCATCACCTTTTCCCACGGTTCCTACCAGACCTGAGAAGGGCTGTATATGGACTCACGTCGGACCTACTCCTGCAATAACTATCAAGGAAACAGTCGCCAACCATTTGTAGTTGGAAACTTGCAGTGGGAGGGCGCCTGGTGTAGCAGTGAAGCTGCCAGTTGGGAAGCCACAGCCCATATCAGAGGGCCTGGGCCCAAGGCCTGGCTCCCCTCCACATTCCAGCTTGCTGCTAATGTGCACCTTGGGAGGTAGCAGGTGATGTATCCAGCACTTATCTCCCTGCCACCCGTGTGGGAGACCCAGGTGAAGTTCCACACTCCTGGATGTGGCCTGGCCCAGCCCTGGCATTGCAGGCATTTGGAGAGAGAGCTGGCAGGTGGGAGCTCCCCGCTTTGCCTGTCTCTGTGTGTGTGTGTGTGTGTGTCTCTGTCTCTCAATAGGAAAAAAATAATTAGAACTGGATTTCCAGTTATCTTGTACTCATATTATTACAAGATAATGCCACATGTTTCTTAAATGAAATTTTTAGCTGGAAAAATGAGTAGGTTACAGTTTTTTTCCCTACTACCCGATAATCATTATCATCTTCATTGCTGGTCATTTAAAGAATTAAGAGGAATAGAAAATAATGGACTGTATTTGAGGTTAAATACGACCTTCTGTATGTGTGTTTTCACAGGCAAGGTCTGTAAAGCCCAGGGAGACCATGGACAGCAGGTAGTTTCTATTTTTTTCTCCATAATTTATTCCTAGAAACTCATAAAATGGGATTGTATTTTTTTATAAGAACAAAATATTATGGTTTAGATTTCTGACCAGCGTCTTGGCCACGTAAAATGTAGCTGTGACAAATAGTGTCTATCATAAAACCACGCAAGCCTTATTTTGTGATCTAGAATGGAGTTTTGGCTGCTTCAGCCATGAGTTAAGTGACTGGTGGGTGATTTTATTAGTCCAGTCTTTTTTAAACTTGTATCTACTTCTGTTGCAAACAGGCACTGTCAGTCGTGTAGTGAAACCATTTGCTGTGGACTCAGCCTGGACCGGACAGGCCTGTTGTACAGAAGTGTCCAGAATTCAGCTGCAGGTCTTAGTTCACGTGCAGGTCAATTAAGTAGAGGAGCAGCAGCATGGGTATAGTGGGAAACAGGGTGGTACACACGTGCCTCTACTAACCCAGTTTAACCAGTGTTTTTCAGTCCTGGAAAATTGGTCAGGGTCTCATCTGATCATAACAATTTTGAGCTGAGGCACCATTCAACTGTTAGCCTTTCTGCACTGGTTTGTTTGTATTTTGGGAAGAAGCAACTGTAGACAGCTCTATGTATATAGGTGCGTTTCTATTCATAACAGCTAGAGTAAAATTGACTGTAAATACCTTTGTATATAATTTCCTAAATGCTGTTATTCACATTTTTGGATTAAAATGTGTTTTTCACCAAGTAAAAAAAAAAAAAAGACTTAGACTATGACTCTCCATTCTTTCCTAACCTATAAGTTTTCTGATTCAAAATCAACTGTCCATCTAATTGGAGATCCTCTGAAGGCAATATGGCATTTCTCTCAGGTACATTTTAAAATCCTTTTTTTATATTTTCCTGTTGAAAGTTTGACCACCATGTGTCATGCTAAAGATCTTTTCTGGTCATGTCCATTAGGAGTTCTATGTGCTTCCTGTACTTGATTGTCCCCTTTTCTCCAAAGTAAGGATGTTTTCAGTTATTACCTCACTGAATAGACCTTTTAATTGATTCTGTCTTTCCACACCTTTAGGAAATCCTAAAACCCATATGTTTGTTTATTAAATAGTATCACAGAAGCTGGCACTGTGGCTCAATAGGCTAATCCTCCGCCTTGTGGCGCCGGCACACCGGGTTCTGGTCCTGGTTGGGGCACCAGATTCTGTCCCGGTTGCCCCTCTTCTAGGCCAGCTCTCTGCTGTGGCCAGGGAGTGCAGTGGAGGGTGGCCCAAGTGCTTGGGCCCTGCACCCGCATGGGAGACCAGGAGGGGCACCTGGCTCCTGACTTCAGATCGGCACAGCGCACCAGCCGCAGTGGCCATTGGAGGGTGAACCAATGGTAAAGGAAGACTTTTCTCTCTCTCTCTCTCTCTCTCTCTCTCTCACTGTCCACTCTGCCTGTCAAAAATAAAAAAAAAAAGAAAAAGAAATGAATAGTATCACAGAGTAGTTTTTTTCAGGTAGAGTTTTTGCCCATTGAGGATGCCTGGGAAAGTTAGCTTTTGCTGGCTGAGAAAGGGTTTATGAATTTGAGAGTTTATTTGAGAATGTAGTTATAAGAAACAAATTATTTGGCTTTCTACTTATTGTCTAACACAGAGATTTTTAAGGCCTTTATAATTTCCTGAGTAATAGGTGTAGCTCTGATTCTTCATAACACACCCCTTTCTGGCAATAACTGTGAGCTCACTATACAACTTCAGAATGGAGAGAGTTGACCATAAACCACAAACATGCTTGGGTCTGGCATCTTCAAGTTCTCTTCTAGCTCTAGATGGGATCAGAATTGAACTGTCTGATAATTAGTAGGTGTTGGAGAACTGGGTTGGTGTTCAGGAAGCATGACAACTTTGGTGTTAGAAGTGACATCCAAAAAGATTCCAGGGCAGGCACTATGTTGCAGTAATTTAAGCTGTTACCTGCAGCACTCACATCCCTTATGGGTCTCAGTTCAATTCCCAGCTGCCCCATTTCTGATCCAGCTCCCTGCTAATGTGACTTGGAAAGCAGCAGAGGGTGCACCCATGTGGGAGACCTCTAAGTTTAGTCTGAAGTGAATATAGCTATTTTGGGTTACTTTGGACTATTGTTCTAATGGTCTATCTTTCTGCATGTTTTTATATTTAATTTGTGTCTTTATATTTATGTCACTTTTATAATACTTATTTGAGATCTTGCTGCTGCTGAGTGTGGGCACCAGAAGATCATGGAAAAACTCCACCTTGAGACTCCGACCCACACTGCTTGGCACCCAGTGCTTACCTCATTGATGAACATGTACTCCCATTTTGCCACTACTCAAGCTCTGTGGAGAAGTTCCACAGCCACCACAGCCTTCAGAATGAAATTAGAAATGCTGAGGGGCCACTGTCATCACCAGGCCAAAGAATAAAGGTAAGGAGGTAAATAAAGCCATAGAGATTAGAACAGAATTCATTTTATCTAAGTGGAAGTCAACATTTTGCATTTCAGCTTTTTTAAGATTGTCCAGTTTGGATTTTGGCTTCTACCCTTAAAGAAGTTTCAAATTTCATTAACATTATTATAATTTATCAAAGCAGAATGATTTATTTCTAAGGTATTTGTTTCTTTGAAAACTGATAATGCTGAGTGACCTTAAGTAAAATGTGAGGAGGCACCAATATGCAACTCTTTTCCTAACAGCCTCTGCATATGTGATAAAGTTCTTGTTTAGGGATGGTGCCTCTCAGATTGCAGTTTTTTTACTTAACTCCTCAAATAAATATAGTTTGTCTCAAGTTTCTAAATTTACAACTATGGTCTCAATTCATGTATTTGCTAATGATATATATTTTTCTTGCTTAGGTAGTAACCTCCCAGTCTAGTTCTGCTGTATACTAGAAAATCTCAAATCATAATTCAAATATTTGAGGTAAAGTTCTCAACATTATTTGCAGGAATTATTTTATTAACTTGTATTCAATATGGAAATAGTATAGTTCTATATTTTATTGCACTTCAAGTAAGGAATGGAAGTGGTACTCAAAAATTTGTTTTTAACCTTTTGGTTATACTCTTTGATCCCTATAATATGATACTTTATGCAGTGCTCAGAAATAGAAAAATATTTGAAAAATCTTAAAATAAAATGCTTATTTGAGGGCCAGCATTGTGGTGCAAAGGCTTAGGCCATATGGGTACTGATTTGTGTTTTTGGCTGCTTCACTTATAATCCACATCCTTAATAATATGCCTGGGAAATCAGCATAGGATAACCCAAGTGCTTGGGCCCCTGCCACCAACATGGGTGACTCATGGCTTTAGCCTGGTCCAGCCCCAGCCATTGCAGCCACTTGGGGAGTGAACCAATAGATGGAAGATCTCTCTGTCTCTCCTTCTATCTATATAAGTCTGTTTTTCAAATAAATAAAATATTTTAAAAATTAAAATACTAATTTTAATGTTTATCTTAAATTCACAAAAATTGATTGCATTTAGCACATAGAAATGATGGTTGAAAATATTTGCATAATGTAAAATGGATAAACCAAGGTAATTGCCACATACATTCTATCATACACCTATTCTTTATGTTGGAGCTATTTAAAATGTAATCTCTTATTTACTTTCTATAATCAAATGCATTGTCATTAACTACTGTCACCATGATGTATGCCAGACCTCTTTTGAATTTTTTCCTATGCAAATGAAATGTGTTTTCCTTAGACTGATATGTCCTCAAACCCCTCATATGTCTTTATATTTGTTTATTTAAAATATATTCATTTAAAAGGCAGAGTGACATAAAGAGAGGGAGAGACAGAGAGAGAGATATTTCACCTGCTGGTTTACTTCCTAAATGGCCACAATGGCTGAGACTGAACAATGCTGAAACTAGAAGCCTGAAACACCATCTGGGTTTCTAGCATAGGTGCAGGGGCCCAACCACTCTAGTGATTATACAGCATTTCCCCTGGCACATTGACAGGCAGCTGGATTGGAACTGGAACAACTGGGACTTAAACCAGCACTCATATGGCATTCTGGTATCACATGCAATGGCTTAGCCTATTGTAGTGTAGCACCAGCCTTTGTCTGTATATTTAAAATGGTTTTCTGATACACAGCACAGATTTGGGTGTTGGTTTAAATTTTCCCATGTGAAATTCTTTTAATTGATGTATTTAGCTGAAGCACATTTGAAGTGGTTATTGATATTGTTGGATTAATATGTACTATGTTTGCAATTAATTGCTATTTGTTTTAGTTATTTTTTAAAAGATTTATTTTTTTCATGGACCCTATATTTATTATTGTTTGTAATAATGAGTAAAATATACAGCATCTCAAATAGAGAGAAGATGGAAAATAAAGCAGAGAAGAGATGGGATGGAGGGGAGGGAGGGAGTACTTGGAATACCTGTTTAAATAGGGCACTCAGGGAACATGTGCTTTCAGAAATTTCCATACTGTTTAGTGGCTGCACTAACTTATATTCCCATGAACAGTGTATAAGATTTCCCCTTTCTCCTTATCTTTGCCAGAACCTATTACATTTTATCTTTATCTTTTATCTTTATCTTTATCTTTTGGATAACAGCCATTCTGACAGGGGGTAAGTGGTATCTCATTGTGGTTTCAATTTGCATTTCCCTGATGGGTAGTGACTTGTGCATTTTTTCATATATTTCTTGGCCATTCTTTTTCTTTTGAGAACTGTATGTTGAGGTCCTTTGCTCTTTACTTCCTTGGATTTAAAAAAAAAATGATTTATTTTGTTGAAAGAGTCATATAGAGAGTGAGAGACAGAAGAGAGACAGAAACAGAGAGAGATCTTCCATCTGCTAATTCACTGCCCACATGGCTACAATGGATGGGACTCGACCAGGCCAAAGCCAGGAGCTTCTTCCAAGTCTCGCACATGGGTAATAGGGGCCCAAGCACCTAGGCTATCCTCTGCTGCTTTTGTCATGTCGGAAGCAGGGAGTTGGATCATAAGTGAAGCAGCTGGGACATGAACTAGCATCCATACTGGATTCTGACATTACAGGCAGAGGTTTTACCCAATATGCCAAAATGCCAGCCTCTGAATTGATTTTTTTTTATTGTTGAGTTTTTGAATGCTGATATAGTCTGGATTTTTATGCTTTGTCGAATAAGTAGCTTTAAATGTCTTCTCCTTCTGTTGGATGTGTCTTCACTCTATTGGTCATTTTCTTTGCCATGCAAAAAGTTCTGAGTTTGATATAGTTCCATTTCTTTAGTTTTGCTTTTGTTGCCTGTTTTGAAGGTCTTGTCCAAGAAATCTTTCTGTACACCAATGTTGGTGTATTTCCCCTACAGTTTCTTCCAGTTATAGTCTCAGTCCTTAAATTTGGGTCTTAGGACATTTTGAGTTGATTTTTATATATGGTGTGAGGTGTGAATTTAATTTCATTCTTCTACATACATAAATCCAGTTTGCCAGAAGAATTTGTGAAGAGACTATACTTACTCTACTGTATGATCTGAGACTATTATCAAAAATAAGTTTTCTGTATGTATGTGGATTAATTTCTGGGTTGTCTATTTTATTTATTTATTTATTTATTTATTTATTTATTTATTTTGAGAGGCAGAGTGGACAATGAGAGAGAGAGAGAGAGAAAGGTCTTCTTTTTTCTGTTGGTTCACCCCCCAATGACTGCTGCAGCCAGTGCACCACACTGATCCAAAGCCAGGAGCCAGGTGCTTTCCCTGGTCTCCCACAGGGGTGCAGGGCCCAAGAACTTGGGCTGTCCTCCACTGCACTCCCAGGCCACAGCAGAGAGCTGGACTGGAAGAGGAGCAACTGGGACAGGATCCGGTGCCCAACCAGGACTAGAACCCAGGGTGCCGGCACCGCAGGCAGAGGATTAGCCTATTGAGGCATGGCACTGGCCAATCTATATGTCACATTTTATGCCAGGAACATATTGTTTTCATTGCTATACTAGTAATTGTACTATGCATTGAAATCAGGCATTGTGATGCTTCCAGCTTGATTTTTCTTACTTATGATCACTTTAGCTATTCTAGGTCTTTTGTGATTCCATGTGAATTTTAGGATTGTTTTTTCCTATTTCTATAAGAGAATGTTGTTGATATTTTGATAGGGATTGCATTGAATCTGTAGGTTATTTTAGGTAGTATAGACATTTTATTTTATTTTATTTTTTTAAAGCTTTATTTATTTGAAAGGCAGAGTTACAGAGGCAGGGGGAGGAGAGAGAGAGGGAGAGAGGGAGAGAGAGAGAGATAGGTCTACCATCCACTGGTTCAATCCCTAAATGACAGCAATGGTTGGAGCTGGACTGATCCAAACCTAGGAGACTGGAGCTTCTTCCAGGTATCCCATGTGGGTTCAGTGGTCAAAGCCCTTGGACCACCTTCTACTGCTTTCCCAGGCCATAGCTGAGAGCTGTATCAGAAGTAGAGCAGTTGGGACTCAAACTGCTGCCCAAATAGTGTGCCATCCCTGCAGGGATGTGGCACTATGCCACAGTGCCAGCCCCTATGGACATTTTAATGATAATCATTCTTGCAATCCATGAGCAAGGGATATCTTTCCATTTCATGGGGGTCCTTGTTGATTTCTTTCATCAGTGTTTGATACCTTTCATTGTAGAGATCTTTTGCTTCTTTGGTTAAATTTATTCATAAATATTTAATTTTTTGGTGGCCATTGTGAATGGGATTTTTTTCTTGATTTCTCTTTCACTGAATTCATCATAGCATATGAAAAATCTCCAGCATTTTGTATATTTATTTTGTGACCTGCAATTTCACTGAATTGGTTTATCTATTCTAACAGCTTTTTGGTGGAGTGTTTATGTTTTCCATGTGCAATATCATGTCATCTACAAGAATAATTTGACTTACCTTTTTCTAGTTTTGATACTCTTTCTTTCTTCCCACTCCCTAATTGCTCTTGCTAAAACTTCCAGTATTATTTTGAATAAGAGTGGTGAAATTGGACACCTTTGTCGTGTTTCAGATCTGAGAGAAAACACTTTCAGTGTTTTCCCATTCAGCATGATATTGGCTGTTGGTTTGTCATATAAAACCTGTATAATTTTGAGTATGTTTCTTCTCTATCTGATTTATGGAGGGTTTTTATCATGAAAGTGTATTGAATCTTATCAAATGTTCTCTCTGCATCTATTGAGATGACCATGTCGTTTTTATTCCTTATTATATTTATGTGATTTATGATACTTATTGATTTGCAAATGTTGAACCACCCTTGCATTTCTAAGATAAATTCCACTTGATCATCATATATGATCTTTTTGATATTGTTTATATTTGACTTGCTTATATTTTTCCCTGTGGCTATTAAAGTATGTTCCTTTTACCTAACAACCCAACCAGCCAGCTCTTCTCAATATAAGAGTCCTTGAATTTAATGAGATCATATTGAATGATTTTTTTATTTAATGTATGCATTTTTACATAGATACAACTTTAGGAATATAGTGGTTCTTCCCCCCATGCCCCCCACTCCACTCCCTTCCCACC